TTTTATCTTTGCTGTAATTATTATTATTTTGTTCTCTCTGTTAACTTCAAATTTATTTTGCTCTTCTTTTTCTGATTCTTTAAAGCATGAAGTTAGATTATTGGTTTGCTGTTTATTTTATTATGGTCCAGAATAGCTATTTTCTCTGAGCCATGCATTCTCTGCATCTCATAAACCTGGCATGCTGTATTTTGCTTTCACTCATCTCAAGTGATTTTTAAATTTTCTTTGAGATTTCTTCTTTCACCCATTAAGAGTGTGTTGTAAAATTTCCACATATATATGAATTTTCCTGTTTTACTTCTGCTTTCAATTTGTACTTATATTCCTTTGTGATCAGAGAACATACTTTTTGTGATGTTAATCTTTTTACACTTAAGACTTATTTTGTGACCCAACATCTTGTCAATTTGAAGCTCTTCATCTATTTTTGTAAGACATCCCCTTTCTCCATCCCTCAGTGTTTAGTAACCACCATTCTCCTTTCTGTTTCTTTGAATTTGACTAATTTAATTTCATTTGCAAGGCAGCAAGAAAAACATCTTCCACCTGCTGATTCACTATCCAAAGGTCTGCAACAGCCATGGCTGGGCCTGGCCAAGCTGGAAGCCAAGCATTCAGTCTGGATCTCTCACATAGGTGGCAGGGACTCCAGTTCTTCAGCCATCACCTGGCTGCCTCCCAGGGGACATAGCAGGAAGCTGAAATCAAGAGTGCAGCCAAGATGCAAACCCAGGCACTCTGACGTGAAATGCAGATGTTCAAGCAGTTTCTTAACTTTTGCACCAAATGCCTACCTCAGAATTTGACTACTTTAAACACTCATTTAAATGAAGTCATCTAAGCATTTGTCTTTTGTGACTGGATTATTTCCCCTACCATATAACATATGACAGGATTTCCTCTCTCTTTTTAAGGCTGAATAGTATTTCATTTTACATATATGTCACATTTTGGTTGTACACTCACCCATCCATGGACATTTGGGTTGCTGACGTTATCTTTTTGGTAAGATTGCAAAATACCAAGAGTGTTGATTCTGACAGTTTTCACCACTATATTCATTTCTCTGGGGAATCGACAGGTCCTTGATAATTCCCTAATCCACATTTTCAGTGACTCCGCTTAAATAAACATTTTTTTAAATTTCTGCATCACACATTGAAATCAACATTGCAAATGTATATAATGTATTATAATTTTTATTTGAAATTACCTGAACATCTGTCTTCCTCTTAAAATGTAAACTTACTAAATGAAAGAAAAATAGGTAATCACCCATCCAACAGGAAATGAAACATGATTTTTTCCTAAAAAGTGAAGAGGATATTAAGAAAGAGGTCTTGGGGCTGTCACTGTGGTGCAGTGGGTTAAGCCTGTGATACCTGCATCCCTTATCAGAAAACCAGCTCCAGTCCCTGCTTCTCCATTTCCCATTCAGTTCCCCAGGAAGGCTGCAGAATATGGCCCAAATACTTTGGCTCTTCCATCCATGTGGGAGACCCAGATGGAGTTCTAGGCTCTTGGTTTCAGCTTGGCCCAGTGCATGGTGTTGCAGCCATTTGGGGAGGGAACCAGCAGATGGAAAATCTCTCTCTCTCTTTCTCTCTCTGCCTTTCAAATAAATACATCTCTAGAAAATTTAACTTTTATAACATTTACTATCACGAAAGTCTTGTTGCATGTTAGAATAAACAATTCATCAGATTCAAATTTCAACCTTAATTGTATGTGTGTGTATATATATATATATTTAAAGATTTGTTTATTTATTTGAAAGTCAGAGTTACACAGAGAGAGGAGATGCAGACAGAGAGCAAGAGAGAGAGAGAGAGAGGTCTTCCATCCGATGGTTCACTCCCCAATTGGCTGCAATGGCCAGAGCTACACTGATCCAAAGCCAGGAGCCAGGAGCCTCTTCTGGATCTCCCACATGGGTGCAGGGGCCCAAGGACTTGGGCCATCTTCTACTGCTTTCCCAGGCCATCGCAGAGAGCTGGATCGGAATTGGAGAAGCCAGGTCTCAAACTGGCGCCCACATGGGATGCTGGCACTTCAGGCCAGGGCGTTAACCTGCTGTGCCACAGGGCTGGCCTATATATATATATATATATATATATACACATATATATACACACACATATATATAAAAGATTTATTTATTTACTTGAAAGTCAGAGTTACACAGAGAGAGAAGGAGAGGCACAGAGAGAGAGAGGGAGGGAAGGAGGTCTTCAATTCACTGGTTCACTCACCAGATGGCCACAACGGCCGGAGCTGTGCTGATCCAAAACCAGGAGCCAGGAGCTTCTTCTGGGTCTCCCACGTGGGTGCAGTGGCCCAAGGATTTAGGCCATTGTCTACTGCTTTCCCAGGCCATAGCAGAGAGCTGGATCAGAAGCGGAACAGCCATATGCCACAATGCTGGCCCCCAATTGTATATATTTAACAATATTTAGAAAATCATTGTATTTAGCTGAATGAGGAATTATTTTGTGATCAACTTCCAATTTCCAGATTCTTGTCTATCTTGTTGTTCTAGCAATTTCTAATGATTAACCAATCAGAATTTATATTGTTCGGACCAGTGGAAATTATTCTATCAATAAGCCATGATAACTCTTCCTTGGTTTGAGACAAATAATATATATTTGGAGATGAAAGACTCAGAACAAGGTTCTTCCTTTTTCTTCTTTTTATTCTAAACTGCATGTGATCTTAAGCAGTCAGCCTGAACTTGTGTGTTTTGAGTAGCCGAATTGGTAATACAATGACATTAGCTGCCTTCTACGTGGGAGCAGATGGCTGTGTTACAAGGATCCCTTCACTGACAGTTAGGAAGAGAGCCAAAAGCCCATATGTTTTAAAAAATCATTCAACTATTGAAGAATGGATACTCCTCAAAATGGAATTTCAGGGAAGTGTAGCGTGAACAGTTTTTCTCAAGGCTGCCAAAATAACGGATTTATTCACAGACATATAGACTGGATATAGATAATGCATTAATTTTGTCTTCTAATTGCAGATCTCTTTTTTTGCAAAAACAACTGAAGCTAATGATAATGCATAAGCAAGGGTCTCTGTCATTGGTTTGATGTTTCAAACCTATTATTCCAAAAGTAATTAGGCATAATAGGGAAATTCAGGAATTATCTTAAGACGAGATGCAATTGTTTATATCAATGAAGCAAAAAAGAAGAAAATATTCAATTTGTATTTCTGAGAGAAATACATTAAAAATTTAAATTGCATTTGCTGATAATGGCTGCACAGGGAGCTAGATAATGAACAAAGGAGAAAGAGCCCAGCAGGCTTCTTGCTGCAGCTCTGCTCCTCTAGTACCCCATCCCCTTCCATGCCAATCCAACATGGCTGCAGGGTTGAACCCCTTTCCCATCATGCACCTAAGCCTCACTTTCTCCATCATGCACAAGATGCCATGATGATGTGTATGCTGAGCTCCTCATGGAGTTGCCATGAAACCTTCCCAGAGACCACCACATGCACTAAAGCCCTGCCCGACCTTTGCCCCCGTTTGTATATTCTGTTAGGGCACCACACTCCACCCCAGAAAGGGGCAACTCAAACTTCAGTGGGGACAGCAGCAGCAGCACCAGCAGTTGCTCCTCTCCTTGTGGAAGGAGCCTGTCTGTACTTCTGTCCTGAGTGTGTACTCTCTCATTAATCTCTTTAAATAAACCCTGCTCTCATTCTTGCACTTTATGTCTCTGTTTTGAATCCATCACTCTTGCCTAGAAAAGAATTTGGGGACCTTCACACCCCTGTACCCCCCAGAACACTTGTTTGATATCTGACCATTGCTGTTTTCTGTAAAAGAAAAAATGAATGTGAAACATATTAAAATATTAGTCAACAGAAATATTAGAAAATAAAATGGTATTTTCCTTTGAAAATATTTGACGAATTGGTCCAGATCATCCAAGCTATTAAATTTGTATGCAAAGTACCACCAACAGTATTGTAATATTCTTTTAATGGTCATGAGATTAGTAGTTATGTCCTTTCATTCCTGATATTGTTAGTTTGTGTTTTCTATTTTTCTTGATTGCTTTGACTAAGACCTTATCAAATTTATTGATCTTTGCAAAGAACAAGCTTTAGGTTTCATTGACTTATTATTTTATTATTTTCAGCTTTATTGATTTCTATTGTTTATTTTCTTTCTTCTGCCTGTTTTTGATTTAGTGTGGTTTTTATTCCCTAGTTCCATAAGGTGAAAATGTAGGTTATTGATTTTAGCAGGAGAGATGGGGGAAATGTGTGTAATTGCTATCTACAACAGGAAACTTACTTTCAATACTTTGTTCATACGAATGTTTAAATGTTTAATACATATTGATACAGTAGTGCCTACTTATATTTTATCATATGTATGTATATATTTACTGCTAGTTGTCTTAGCCTGAATGTCCATAAAAGAGAGCCTGATACAAATACTTCTATGTGAATATCTGCTTAGAATGGTAATTTATATATTTATTTATTTATTAAATATTTATTTATTTTAACTTGAAAGTCAGTTACACAGAAAGAAAAGGAGAGGCAGAGAGGGAGAGAGAGGAGAGAGGTTTTCCAACCGCTGGTTCACTCCCCAGATGGCCACAATGGCCAGAGCTGCACCGATCCGAAGCCAGGAGCCAGGAGCTTCTTCCCTGTCTCCCACGTGGGTGCAGGGGCCCAAGGACTTGGGCCATCTTCTACTGCTTTCCCAGGTCATAACAGAGAGCTGAATCAGAAGTGGAACAGCCAGGACTCAAACTGGCACCCATATAAGATACCAGCACTGCAGGCAGTGGCTCTACCTGCTACGCCACAGCACCAGCCCAAAGATGGTAATTTATATTGTGTGTTAAAATAATGGCAGCTACAGAAAACAAAAATTCCAAACAATTTGTGTGTGTGTGTGTGTGTGTATTTTAACTTACACAAACATCTCTTAGGTAGCTGCAATATCTGAAGCATGACATGCACATCCAAAGTGAAGAATATAATGATTTTATTGAAAGTCAAAACATCAAACTTTTATAAATTTCACATAAACATGTAGCCATTTAAACACATAAAAAGAGCCCAAAAGTGACAGATGTCTCATTATAAGCGGTCAAAATAAAGACAGGTGCATGTTAAGCCTTCAGCATTTCTTTTACCATCAAGTTTTTAAAATAAACTAGCTTTCCTAACATTTATTCTCACAAAAGTCTATTTCAAGTGAAAATAAATGATCCATTGCCTTCAGATTTTAATGGTTTATATTTAACCATATTTGGAAAACTGTCACATTTATTCAAATGGAGGCATTTTCTGTGACTTTATTTTAAGTTCCCACATTCTGGTCCATCTACAACTGCAAGTAGTGTGGAATGATTTATAAGTTGGTGTTTACATTATTGGAACGAGTTGGAACTATTCTATGGAGAAGCCAGATAAAAAAGCTTGCTTGGTTTGAGACATATTTGGAGATAAAAGACTTGGAACATGGCACTTGCTTTTTCTACAGTTTATATAAAACTAGATGGGCTCATAAGCAGTCACCCTGGCTCACATAACTAGGTTGGCCAGGTCCTGAATACAATGACTCTAGCTGCCTTCTACATCTGGTCAGAGAACTACATTGAGAAGATCCACTCATAGTTATGGAGACAGCCAGGAGCCTGTCCGTTTCAAGAAAGTGTTTAGCCTTTGAAGGAGAGACTCCCCAAAATGGAATTTCAGGGAAGTGTAGAATAAACAATCCTGCTCAAGGTTCAAGGCTGTCAGAATTATTTTCTGCATGCTGAGATGTTATTCACACATGTATAGACTACATGCAAATAATTCTTTTTTTGTATTTCAGATTTTTTTGCAAAAGCAATTCTAGTTAATTATAATATATAGCAAAGCTTATCTATCTTTGGTTCTAGGTCTCAGAGATTTTTTTTCCAAAAATAAATAGGCATAGCAATAAAAATAATTCAACTATCTTAAGAGAAAACTGAATATCTTATAAAAAGCAAAAAATATATAAGTGCTGTTTCTTAGACTTTTTTCTAATTATCTTGCTTAATATCTAATACCAGTGCAATTTTAATATTAAAATGACTGTGCACATTGTATTTACCTATACAGCATAGAAACAAAAATATCGTAAAACCAAATAGTACTTTCCCTTAAAAATTATTTATGCACTATGCATTCTAAAAATGTATGGAAAAGCAAATTGCTGAAATGCTGGCAAAATTGACTTTGAGAAAGCATAATCAAAGGAAGTGAAGATGTAATGATACCCACAGATCCCAGAGATAAAAATAAAAAAAAAAAACACATTACTCAAAGTCTCCAGTTCTCAGAAATGTAGAGAATTTTCAGAGATTTTTCAAAGAAATAATATCTATGAAAGCATATTGTTATGATTTGGACTCTCAGGAGATTTAATGAGCTTCCTTTGTTAATGGTTTCCGTCTCTTTTCAAATAAGATTTTTGAATCAAATAATTCTCTTTCCCTATAGCCTAGAGATGGTCCTTTTAGATACTTTGCTTCTGCTGCTTTGTAATCTAACCCATCAACAGCTGAGATTGAACAAATAATTGCTTCGGGTAGAAGGACTTCCAGGATAAATTTAATTTTATCATGTTTTATGAGAGTCATCATTTTTTCATCTACTTGATTGCAGACTCCTTGTAAATATTTCACCACTTCATCCAACTGATCGTCATCCTCAAAGTATGTTTCAATACAGGGTGAGAATCTCTTTGCATTCAAAAATGATTTCAGCCATCTGGATCCTTTTGTGCCATTTAAAATGGACTGAAGATGGTCTTCTGTTCCCTTTGCATTCACAATGAAGTCCACAAGGTTTTTGTTGGCTCTGTCTCGTGCAGCCTTCATTCGGTCAGGAAGAATTTTCTGGAAGGACATTTTCTTGGTCTGGGAAGTCACAGTCATGTGTTCCACAGCATCTTCATTATGCAGCTTTGGAAATATATTCCGGAAGGTCTCCTGTTTGACTACTTTCCTAACTGGATAGCTAATATCAGCAGCATAATACTCAAAGAAAGAGCCTGCGAAAGAACCACAACCTATTCGAACTCTGTAGTCACAAATCAGTGAGATGCACCAGTCAATACTTTCGCTGTAATCTTCCCTGGCTTTATCCACTAATGTTTGCTTCTCTTTACAGTCAAATTTCTTTAATCTTCTGAAGGATACTCTCACGCCTTTCTTTTCAGGAGTCATGTTTGCCTCAACGAAAAGCACACTTGCTTTCCTTTCTTTTCGCCTGATGCTTTTTACCACTGCTGGCCAATAAGGATATTTTTGATATTTAAACCAGACTATCATTCCTGTTTCAAAGGAACGCTTCTCATACTGAAAAATGAAGCGTGGAAGTTCTTCTTCTTCCTCGTCGTCAGCTAATATGGAATCAATGATAGAATTTAGGTGCAATGATTTGTCAGAAGCTTGAAATTCCTCAAGATCATCAAAATCCAGTCTCTCAAGATTCCTTTCTCTATTCGCAACAAGTGCACAGGCCAGGGCAGGGTTAGGGGCACTAGCAGAGACCTGGTCTTCCCATGAACAACTCCCAGTGGATGTTGTAGCACCCACCTCAGATTCTACAGAAGGCTGATTCTGGCTGGGCTCTAAGCATGGATTCGGATTAGAAGGACCTTCACCTGGATCTTCAATATTCTCTGAGAAGGTAGAACATTCAGAGGAATCAGGTAGGGGCCCTGGGCACACGTCTTGTGGCTCCTCTTTCAAAGCTTTGGGTGTAAAGAGAGTATCTGATGGCAGATCTGGAAGACATTTCTCTTCTTTCGCATACACATCCTCCTCTTTGACTGTGGAATGAACGGGCATAAGTGAAATATCAATCTTTTTCTTGTCTTCTTTTTCATCTTCATCTTCGGAACGTGAAGGGAAAGTCTGGCCCCAGCTAGAGTCTAGCAATGGCTTTGTTTCCATTTCCCCTGGAATAATACTGCTGGTTGTGTGCACCTGTGATTTATCATCTGCCAGGGAATCATTCTCTGGAGATACTAACAAGGATGCTGGGTTTTCACTTTCCTCGAGGTATTTCGGTAAGTCTCCTTCATGCTTCCGATACTTCTTCTGAGGCGGTGAATCGGACAGCTTTTGCTGCGCGTTTTCAGCCAGGGTAGCAGTCTCTTCTTCACCTGAAATGCTTGCTTCACTCAAATTTGGTCTCTCATTCAGAATATCCAGTGCCACTTTAAGTGCTCTTCCATAGGCTGTCTCATCCCTAGGTGAAGCACCGGCCTCTGACTGCACTGCTAGTGAGGAGGCAATGGCTTCAATCTGAGATTTGTTTAGGAGCTTTGTTTCTGAGCTGTCTACTATAATTTTTTCTTCTAGTGAGAGTATTTGAACTTCTAGGGAAAATGTCTTTTTTCTCTTACTGTTTGGTGATGTTTCATAACTGGACAAAACCTTTGCTGGCCACAACTGGTCTTTCCAATTGCACAGGACATACTCAGCATCCATTATGATTTAGATCCGTGTACTGATTGCTTATTATCAGTGGATGGGGTGGCTAGCTAACCTTGTCACTGCTAATGCAGGTGCTACCAAAAACAACACTCTCAACAAATGCTCTTTTGTTTTCTGACAACAAAAATTAGTTTGTAGGCACTGTTCTTCTTCACCTCAGTTTCCAAAAGGTACTTGAACACGTTGTTTGGGACAATCCTAGACAATACAGAAATAGGGGAAAGGAATACCATCAGCAAATAAAATTATTTTGTCAGAATAGGAGGTGAACAACTGCAGATAGAGAAGAGATAAAAGAGAATGTTAAGTGCAACCTTGGTCAGAGGGGAAAAGGGGTATGTGTAGGGGGGTGGTGGGGAATAAGGACTAGAAATGCAATTTTACAACATGTCAACATCAAGAACCTCCCCTTATCACAGTGCTTGTTTGTGAAGCAGTGAATGTGTACACATGCCAGCAGAAGTGGGAGAACTTGGTGGGGGCGGTGTCAGGGACTCTAGTTATGTTATTGAACACTTTGGTACCTTTGTGCTCCCATGGATATACTTAATGGCAGTGGCCCTCCAAAGTTACCATGCATGAGAATCATTAGGAAGACTTGTTGAATCTCCAGGCTTCCTCCTAAGAATTTAATTCATATCTGACTTGAACTCAAAATTAGTGAAATCAGCTAGTCCCCAAAAGACAAACATCGTATGTTTTCTCTGATACGTGGTAGTTAATACAGAATACAAAAAAATTGTATAGGACTGAAACGGACACCTTGTGACTTGATTGTTGTTTTTAGCCCTTGTGCATACTCCTGTTGGAACTGTGGTCTTTCTACTTTTTCCTACTTGAATGCTACGGTTAGTGGTGCATTAAGCCTATGATTATAGAGTGGGCTGAAATTATGTTTTTGCAAAAATCAAAGAAACAAAAGAAAGGAAGGAAGGAGGGGGATTGAGGGAGAGAGAGTGAAGCAGGGAGGGCAGTATGATTATCTTCTTAGCAGTGTACCTATGAAATCTATTCTTTTTATATTAATGACAATTTTAAAAACCTGATAGAAAAGAAAAATAGGCAAAGCTACAACAACAAAACCAAAAATTTTTATATTTCTAATAAGTTCTCAAATGATTGTGGTGCTGCATGTCTAAGAACTTTTAAGAAGCACTGTTTTGCTGAACACACGATTTTATAATTTTAAGCTGCAAGTGTTTTGCTATTCACTCAAAAAAAGCAGACAAAGACAATAGAGTTTATATTTCCTAGACACAGACAACATTATAATGACACTGCTTTTTAAGTTTAAGTTTAAAGCAGAAATCCAAATGAGTGCTATGACCACTTATTTTTTAGTTATTTATTTATTTGAAAAGCAGAGAAAAGAGGAGGAGGAGGGGGAGAGAGAAAGGGAGGGAGTGAGACAGAGAGGGAGAGACAATCTCCCATCTGTTGATTCATTACCCAAATGGTCATAAGAGCCAGGTCTGTGCTAGGCCAAAGCCAGGAGCCTGGAACTCTGCTGGTCTGCCAAATGGGTGGCAGGGGCCCAAGTACTTGGGTCATTTTTCAGCGGCTTTCTGCGTGCGTTAGCAGGAAACTGGATCAGAAGATCAGCCCAGACACAAACTGGCACTCCAATATGGGAAGCTGGCACGTTGCAAGCACTGACTTAACCTGCTATGGCAAAACAACTGGCCCCTACGGTCACTTACTGAATAGAGTAGTAATCAAAGAATGGAGAATCAGACCATTGGCTGAAACATCAGGGGAACTCCTATAGACCCCCTAGCATGATTTCTTCACAATGATTTAATGTGTGAGACTCTTTCTATTTTTATTTTTTAATTTTAATTTAATTTTATTTGTTTTTTTGACAGGCAGAGTGGACAGTGAGAGAGAGAGACAGAGAGAAAGGTCTTCCTTTTGCCGTTGGTTCACCCTCCAATGGCCGCCGCAGCCAGCGCGCCATGGCCGGCGCACCGCGCTGATCCAGTGGCAGGAGCCAGGTGCTTATCCTGGTCTCCCATGGGGTGCAGGGCCCAAGCACTTGGGCCATCCTCCACTGCACTCCCGGGCCACAGCAGAGAGCTGGCCTGGAAGAGGGGCAACCGGGACAGAATCCGGCGCCCCAACCGGGACTAGAACCCAGTGTGCTGGTGCCGCAAGGCGGAGGATTAGCCTAGTGAGCCGCGGCACCGGCCCAGAGACTCTTTCTAAAAACTAGAAGTTATGAGTTTTAATCATAAAATGTTATATAGTTGCAGAACAGAGAGTAAAATGAATCATACCCTACATTCCCAACCTAACATGATTTTAATATGCAAACATGGTCTTTAATTTAAAATGCTATGACTGGGCCAGCAATGTGGCACAGTAGGTTAAGTCACCACCTGTGATGCCAGTATCCCATATGAGTGCCTGTTTGAGTCCTGGCTACTTCACTTCCCATCCAGCTCCCTACTAATGTGCCTGGAAAGGCAACAGATGATGGCCTAAGTGCTTGGGTTTCTGCCACGTACATGGGAGACCTGGATGCAGTTTCAAGTTCCATGCTTCAGCCTGGCCCAGCCCTGGTCATTGAGGCCACTGGGGGAAACTAGGTGATGAAAGATATCTCTCTCTCTCTGTAACTCTGTCTTTCAAATAAATAAATAAATAAATAATTTTTAAAAATGCTGTGACTGTAGAAAAAGAGAAAAATACATTATCTCTCAGAACTGTTTCATAAGATGGGAAGAGTCTTACCCTCTGCCGGGGACTGTGGTAGCAGAGCCTTCGCCCCGTGCGGCCCCTCTGTGGGTACACAGCCTTTCTGGACCTCAGATGATATCACGTGCCGATTTCCCAGGTCACAAGTGTCTGATATTTGTCCTAAAGGAATACAGGGGAAAAACCATTTAAATGGAAAAGTGTAAAGAAATTTCCCTACCAAAACTCTAGCAGGGACTCCATTCACAAACATAGGAACAAGCTGAAACCTCACCCATGATGTATATGCCCTGTTTGCTGTCCTTTTTGTCCTTACACTAAAAATGCTTGCTGTGACACAATTATGATATGTAGTTCACCCTGAAATCATCACTCTCAGGAAAAGTATGAGAGAAGGGAAGTATACTTATCTTGTATCTACTATGAGGCAGGTTCTAGATTTTCTGTTTGAATCCTTATAGCAGTGGTAAGGTAGATTTTTTTCTTCTTTATACATATATTTTAATAAACTAATAATTGCACTGTTATGTATTATCTGATAGTCTAATAATATAAAATAAGTTCGTTGCTTTGTTTACCTCTTCATAAAAAATGGTTGCCTGGAGAAAATGTAGGACATTTTGCAAGCGCCATCTTGTGACTGAAACCTGAATTTCAGCCTGCACTTGAGTTTATAGGCATAAACTCACTAATCAGATCCTTGCTATTGGAGAAGGATGCGAATTACTTCCAACCAGCCAGCAGCTTTCTCAGGCTTCTAGAATTCTCTATTCTAAACTTAAGGGTTTTGTTGTGTGAGATTATAATATGATCATAATGTCTTAACTACAATATTTCTGATGATAAAAATATCCAATTGCCTATTAAAATTGAAAAGATGCAGAAAGCAATATAAAGAAGAAAGTACAATGCTATGTAAAATATCCAGTATGAAGATTTTCTATATATCTTTCCAGATTTTTGGCATATATAGATGAATGTGTACCATTTCATAGTATCTTCAGATCCCACTCAAGGGCCTGCCTTGAACATCATTCTAAATGAAATATTTTCCAGGTGATTTTAAATAAATTTCATTAAATAAGGGCTGTCCCAAGTTTATAACATTTAATTTGATGTTTTCCCTGAAGATATAAAATGTATATATTAATAATTTTAAAAATAGAGAACAGTAAAGCTATCCCTGTCTCTTCAACTCTACAAACGATCCTGTTGATAACTTTGCGGGTTATGCTTTTCCAAATTTGGTTACATATATTGTAGCAGTAGACATATGTTATACTAACACACATATTTGTGCTTATTCTTATACTAATACACATATTTATGATTTTACATGCTATTCTGTAATTTTCTTTGCTTACTTTCTGAGATTTCTCTGATATTTTTAAGCCACCATATGGAGAGGTTCCTGCTTCAATTTACCAGATGCATTTAATGGCTGCACCATGCCATCTAATATCTTTCAAACTGCTTCTAGAAATAAATTAAATTATCTCTCTGCATCACTCTTAAACATACACTACATAGACAAATGGGTTTTGCTGACCTCATCCTCATCTGTGGATTGAAAGAATGAATTGCAAGGAGGACACATGAATGGCTGTCCTTGACACAGCAACCAGGCTACCCATTTAATCAGGTCCAGGAAAATTGCCACTATTGGGAAAAGGCGGGGGTGTTGGGAGCTTGTGTGTGCGTTGTGTGCCTATGAGCATTTCTGTGTCTGGAACAAAATGGGTACACTGTTACAGCTTCATTTTTGCTTCGTAATTATAAAATTAATCACGGGGAAATCTACTCCAAAAATGCAGAAACAGGTTAAAAAAATTGAAGTAGCAACCTGACCATTCAGAAATGCTGAATGTTAATATGGGAATGGGGGATTTATTTTTCTCCAGAGTTTGTTCCAATCATATATGTATACTTGTACAGGCATATGTTACTGCAAGAGTCTTCATTCAACCTTATACTTGATCCCTTCTCCGGGCACAAGTACACGTGACACATACAGAGTCTTTCTATGCATCAATCCATTTATAGAAATATGTCCTCTATGCTGTCAAATACTTCTACCAGTTATTTTTCTGTATAAATTAATAATTGTTTAAAAATTCAAACAATAGCAGAATGTCTAGTAATAAAAACATGGAATGCCAAGTCAATAAATTAGCATGAATGGCCCTCCTGCACTAAAGCCTTAATTTAGAGGCTGTAATCTGATCACCCCTTCTCCCACTGTGGACTTATAAAGCACTGGGAGACAGAAAAATTCCAGAGGATTAATTCCTTCAAAATGCCAGCAATTCTCTCAAACCCACACATTGTTCTGACTGCTCCAAGACTGCCATCCCTATTTTTCTCCTTTTTACTCTGGGGCCCTGAGAAGTCACTAGAAAATAACCAAATTTAAGACAGCCATTACCTTGAAGCTTCTTGTCAGCTGCAGCCTGGTGAAAAGCAGCTCCTCCCCCAAGACTGGTCAGGCACAGCTCCCTTCCCAGCTGCTCAGAGCACGCTCCGCCCCCTGGCTAGGATGAAGAGCAGAAGTCCCCCCGCCCCAAATTAGAGGTGGGAGAAATGCCAAGAGAAATCATTGCAGTGTTGTAGAAACGTTCCTTTTAAAAGAACTTTAAAGTGAAATGGCAACAAGTGTCTGTCTATTTTCCATTCAAACCCTAAGAGTGGGTGATTTCTTGAAGAAAGGAGGTAGCAAATTGCTTTCTCTTGTATTAAAAATCCAGATAAAATGTTCCCTACATGTATTGTTTTCTTTCCTTCTCTGGCATCTAATAGCTACAGCTGAATTTAAAACTCAGCTGGACAAAGCTCCATTAAAACAGTCCACTAATATTGGTTGGGACTGCACTAAATTTGTGCATTATTTAAAGGAGCACTGACTTTTTAGAATTCTCTTTTTTGTTTCCAGGGCATGGATGACTCTCCTTTTATTCAAGTCTTCCCTTAAACCCTTCAGCAAAGTTTCAGATTCCTTTTCACACGTGGTTATTTCTGACTAGAAGCTGAAAAGCATTGGTTTAGCAGGAAAATAGCCATTTCACATGTCCTCATCAATAATTAACCATTCATTCTTCACGTATATACATGGATATATGTGAAGAATGAATATATGTATACATGAACATACATATATACATGGAGAACGTGTATATATATGTACATTCTTCATGTATACACATAAAGAATGAATTCATGTATATACATGAAGAATGTACATATATACATAAAGAATGTATATATATGAATTTTTGTACATATATACATAAAGAATGTATATATGAATTTATTCTTCATGTATACACATGAAGAATGTACATATATATACATGAAGAACATATATATATATATGACGAATGAATTGTCTTTCTGCCACAGGAAGTTTTCCATTTCAATCTTTCACAGACTTCTGTTATTTTTATGCTGTTTTACAACCGTGTATCATATTTATAATGAATAGGACAGAAACGTCTATTTACTCACTCAATTTCACTATTTGCATTTTTCCTCACTGGCAGAAGCCCAGCTGTATTCAAGGTAATAGTATCAGCTCCTATAACATAACTTTTCCCAGACTCCCTCACTGTAAGCCATGGCCATGTGATGGAAGTTCTTGCCAAAGAATGCAAGCAGAAATTGCTGTGAAAATTCTAGAGAAAGCATTGCCAAAGAGGATAAAAACCAGCTTAGACTTCTTTTCACTTTCCCCCTTTATTTTCCTTCCTACAATTTGACAGTGATAGAGTTTGGAAAGTCATTCCAGACTAAGAAGTGCCTTAAGAAAAGGATGTAGCTCACTAAAGATGGATGATCATGAGCACCTGAATAGTGGGACCACTTCATTACAATCTCCTGCGTTCAATGGAAGAACAATCTTTTTTTTTTTTTTTTTTTTGACAGGCATAGTGGACAGTGAGAGAGACAGAGAGAAAGGTCTTCCTTTTTGCCGTTGGTTCACCCTCCAATGGCTGCCGCGGCTGGTGGAACTAGAACCCGGTGTGGCGGCGCCGCAGGCGGAGGATTAGCCTATTGAGCTGCAGAGCCGGCCTATTTTTGTCTATTTTCTATATTGCACATAAGTCAGGAAATGTTATATCACCTCACCAGTTTCCAAACAACATGCAAAGGAAAAGATTAATTAAATGCATAATATTTTATATTCACTGCTTTGTAGAAGGAACTGGAGAATAACTGATAATAATAAATGCGAAAACTATATTACTACAGTGATGATAGGTTATATTACAGCTAAAATAATACCTCATATCTACGAAAATTTTCTATATACCAGGCACTGTTCTCAGTACTTGACATATTATCTCATTTAATAATTGCATGGTTGTTTCAAGGAGTAAAGGCCCACAACTGATTCATTCTGCATAAGAAGAGTATTATTATTAAGAATAATGACAATGATAATAGATGCCAAAGTGTTTTTTTTTTTAAATCATGTGCCAGGCACTCCACAAAGTGCTCTATATACATCATCCCACTAGATTTTCACAAAATCTTGTTAGACAGATACCATGGTTTGAAAGTGTTCCCCAATGTTGATGTGTTGGAAACTTAATCTCCAATGCAACCATGTTGAAAAATGAGACTTTAACATTTATTTATTTATAGAGAAGGGCACACACACACACACTCCCCAAATGGCTTCAACGACCAGAGCTGCACCAATCCGAAGCCAGGAGCCAGGTGCTTCCTTCTGGTATCCCATGCAGGTGCAGGGGCCCAAGCACTTGGGCCATCCTCCACTGCTTTCCCAGGCCATAGCAGAGAGCTGGACTGGAAGAGGAGCAGCTGGGACTAGAATCGGTGCCCACAGGAGATGCTGGTGCCAAAGGCGAGAGAGAGGGAGAGAACTTCTATTGACTTGCTTACTCCCCAAATGCCCTCACGGGCCCGTCTGGGACTAGTCAGAAAGCTTGAACTTAATCCAGGTCTCCCACATGAATGGCAAGTACACAACTACTTGAACCATCACCTGCTATCTCCCAGGATGCACATTAGCAGGAAGTTTGAGTCAGGGGCTAGAGAAGGAGCCTGAAATCAAATCCAGGCACTTTGCCATGAGATGTGGGTATTGTTTTAACTGTCATCTCAACAGTTAGGACAAATGACCACCCCAGGAGAAATGAAATTTTTAAGAAGTGATTAGGACATGGGAATTCTGCTCTCGTTAATGAATTAATGCTGCTATTGCAGAAGTGGGTTACTTATCAGGAGAGAGAGTTGCTGATGAAAGGATGAGTTAAGTACCTCCCCACCCCCACACACATAAATGTCATGACTCAGCAAGAAAGCCCTCATCAGAGGTGACTCTTCAACCTTGGATTTCCTAGCCTCAAGAACCAAGAGCTAAATAAACTTCTAGTGTTTGTAAATCTCAGGCATTCTGAGACTGCAACATTAAAGAAAGTAAGACAGAAAATTAGTATCCAGAGGTGGGGTTCTTGCTATAAACAAATACTTGACAATGTGGAGGCAGGTTTGGAACCAGATAATGGGTTGAGGCTGGATGAATTAAGAGGGACGGGCTAGAAAAATCTTAGGCTGCTGTGACTTGAGCATTAATGGAGATTCTGGTGAGGGCTCAGGAGAAGAAGACAGCTGTGGGGAAAGTCTCAGTCTTAGAGATAACATACATGGTCATGATCAGGATACCGGGAGAAGTATGGCCAGTAAAAGGCATTCTGAGAAGATCTCAGACTGAAACGAAGAACAAGGTTTCAGCAGTTGCATTAAAGGCTATCGTTATACTGTTGCAAAAAAAAAACCCTGGCAGAATTCTGCTCCTGCATCTCTGTTCTAGAGCTTTATGGAAGGCATTCATTCAGATTGACACAATAGCCTATCCAGTTGGAGAACTATCTAAGCAGAAAAGTGAGGAACTGCAGGACTTCCTCTGACTGCTTACAGTAAAATAGACAAGATTTAAAGATGGAGTCTATCATTAAAAGGGAAGCAGAGAAGAAAGATTGGAAAATCTGTATACTTGTTATATATAAAAAGGCATATTTTAGAGGAGAAAAGTAAGGCTCTGGCCAGATGGGTGAATGAATGAATGAATCTGAAATAGTTATGTATTTAGAGTCACTGGGTCTTAAAAGAGTGGTGTACCTGATTCTGCACATAACCCACCTCTGTACCTCTCTATCTCTCATTCTATATCCAGTTGGCTAAGACACGGGTCTAACATAACATGACATCATCATGGGAGTGATTGACTAACCATCATTTTTGCCAGATTATACTGATTAGAAACAAGGCATCCTATCCCTAACCCAAGGCACAAGTTCTATCCACATTCAAGGGGATAAGATTATAATAGGATGTGTCTGCTACAATAATGTATGATTCCATTCATATGGCATTTTCAAACAGCTAAAAATATAGCAATGGTATAAAGATCAGTGTTATCAGGTGCTACAGGTGGGAAGGGTGTTCCTATACACGGATAGCACAAGGAAGTTGTGAGGGTGATGGAACTCTTCTGTCTTTTGATTGGGGGAGGTGTGGTTATATGAACCTATATTTACGTTAAAAATAAGAGAACTATAAACTGCAAAAGGACACTTATAAATGTGGTACTTTAAGGTGTAGTTTTAACATATAATAATTCACATTTTGAAAATTTAAGTTGGAAATGCAGTAATAATATTATATAAAAAGCAATTCTTCATCAGTAAGCTTTAGAAACTATCTGCACTTTTAATGACCACAAAATAACTACCATGCATTCACTATTTAAAAGGCACCAGTTCCACTTCCACTTAGGATAGAAAAAGCCATATGAGAATGTCACCCATAAATAAGCAATTACAAATTATGAGATAACATACAAAATCATAACTTTCCTTGAGTCCATCAGAGAACTTAGTTAAACTGAATTCCAAAGGGCAACCAGTCCCTTTAAGGGCAGACAGACAGAAGGTACCACTTCGCCTTGGCCACAGTATAGAGGCAAAAGCTACTGTCATGCAAGCAGGTAAAAAGAAATCAGCTGAGGGGCATGTGTTTGGGCTAGTGCTTAAGGTACCCACATCCCACACTGGAGTACCTGGATTCAATAACTGGCTCTGAATCCTGACTCCAGCTTCCTGGGGAGTCAGCAAATGATGGTTCAAGCAGTTGGGTTTCTGCCACCCACGTGGGAGACCTAGACTGCTTCAGTAATTTTGGGCATTTAGAGAGTGAACCAATGGATGGGAGCCTCTACCATCTCTCTTTCTTTTTTTTTTTTTCTTGACAGGCAGAGTGGACAGTGAGAGAGAGAGAGACAGAGAGAAAGGTCTTCCTTTTGCCGTTGGTTCACCCTCCAATGGCCGCCGCAGCTGGCGTGCTGCGGCCAGCACATCGCGCTGATCCGAAGCCAGGAGCCAGGTGCTTCTCCTGGTCTCCCATGGGGTGCAGGGCCCAAGCACTTGGGCCATCCTTCACTGCACTCCTGGGCCATAGCAGAGAGCTGGCCTGGAAGAGGGGCAACTGGGACAGAATCCGGCACCCCGACCGGGACTAGAACCTGGTGTGCTGGTGCCACAAGGTGGAGGATTAGCCTATTGAGCCACGGCGCCGGCCACCATCTCTCTTTCTATCTCTATCTCTCGCCATTCTCTGCCTCTCTCTCTTAAATAATTATAAAAGAATCAGCTGAGATTTTAATGAATTCTTAAAGGTAAAGCATGGATTGTGTCAATTTGCAATATCTGGAACCTCCACTGCCAAGTTTTTTTTTTTTTTTTTTTTTTTCATGGTCCTTAACCAGAAACTCACAAAAATGAGTGCGGACAAAGAGAGGACATAAAAGAGCCCATATCACTGGCTCAGGTGTGCAGGAGGCAATCAACTGTTGCAAGGAACAGACACATGGATTCAAATACTTAAACCCTTCAATCATGGAGATCAAAAGCCTTAACCAACTAGGCTAAAAGAGGCACACTGTCTCTTCCTGGACTCAGGCAATAATCTATTGCTTCTAGGGTAGAAGCAAAATTCGTCTTCCTGGGGAGAGAGTGACAAGAAACTCTCCCATCCTTAGGACAAAGGCATGAATCAATCCATTGCTGTTGGAGAAGTAGAAGCAAAAACTTTGGGCCTTTGAACCTTTTAGGTCTAGGATCTTAAAAGGATAAGAAGTTCTAATCAATATGATAAGGCCTGAAAATGAATGAATGGCATATGGATTGGAAAGAAGTACAACTGCAGATAGCATGATGAACTATGTAGAAAAATCCCAATGCGTTTACCAAATGAAAGCTATTGACTTACTCAGCAAGTTTAACAATATCACTAGATTCAAGGTCAATATAATTCACCTTACTTCTATACCAAAAACACTCTTGGAAGTTGAAAAAAAATCTTTTACAATATCATCAAAAACAGAAAATACTAAAGGAGGATAAAGCCAACAAATATGTGCAAGATTTGTGTGCTGAAGACATAAACTACTGAGAGATATTAAAGCACACCTATCTAAATAAACAGAGAAATACATCATGTTCATTGAGCAACATACTCACTAGTTTTAGGATATACTAGCTCCTAAATCATATCTATAGGCTCACTGAATCTCGACCAAAAATCCTAGTAGCCTTTTTTTAGAAATTGAGAAATCTAAAATGCATATGGAAAAACAAATAAACCATAACAGTCAAACCAATTGTGAGAAGGAAATACAAAAGCTGCAAGACCCACACTACCCGATTTCAAGACTAAAGTAATCAAGATAGTGTGTTATTGGCATAAGATTGGCATGTACATCAATAGAGCAAAAAGACCAGAAAATATGGACCATAGATTTTTTTTGCAAAGGTAATTAAATGAAGAAATAAGGTATTTCCAACAAAAAGTGCTGGAACACTATACATCATATGTGAAATATGTTCTTCTCAAAACCATTAACTAAGGCTATACAAAAATGAATTTAGGGGCCGGCGTTGTGGCACAGTGGGTTAAAGCCCTCGCCTGCAGTATTGGCATCCCATATGGGCTCCAGTTCAAGTCCCGGCTGCTCCACTTCTGATCCAGCTCCCTGATAATGCACCTGGGAAAGCAGCAGAAGATGGCTTAAGTCCTTGGGCCCCTGCACCTATATGAGAGACCCAGAGGAGGCTCCTGGCTCCTGGATTTGGATCTGCTCAGCTCCGGCTGTTGTGGCCACTTGGAGAGTGAACCAGCAGATGGAGGACCTCTCTCTCTCTCTCTCTCTCTCCCTCTACCTCTCTCTGTAACTCTTTCAAATGAATCTTAAGAAACATATATTGCAAGGTTAAAGTAATTTTTTAAAGTTCAGTGACAGTTCAAATGTATAGCAAGAGGTAGATATGCACACAGGAAGAAAGGGAAAAGGAAGCTGTACAAAATGATCCTCATAAGAGCTGATGATATACATGATTCACTGGCACACTTGGCTATAGGCTAGAAACGAATCCGTGAACCCTCAACTTAGGAAAATGCTTAGATCGCTGAACTGTGTTTGACTGTCTGGTTTAACCAGAGCATTATTTGAGAGGGCTCTACTGCCTTAGGGTTACTGATTTTCTCCTTCTGTGGCTTCTGCATATCCTCCTAAGGGTCACAGGTAAGCTTTAATAAAGAGCTCTGAATGGGTGACACTAGAGGATCCCCATTTAAAGACAAGAGGTAAGGAACAGTAATGCTGGAGAAGACATAGAAAAAACTCACGGGCAGGTGTTGTGATGCAGCAGGTTAAACCGTGTCTGAGAGCCTGGAATGGTGCCTCTCCACTGCTTCTGATCAGCTTCCTGCTACTGTGCTGGGAGCCAGCAGGTGAGGGTAGGCCCTGAGTACTTGGTTCTTGCTATCTGCAATGGAGACCAGGATGGAGTTCCTGGCTCCTGGCTGCAGCCTGGCTGAGGAGCAGTTGTTGCAGGCATTTGGAGAGCGAACCAGTGGATGGACAATCACTGTCTGTCTGTCTCTCCCTGTCACTATGACTTTTAAATAAATCAATACTTTTAAAATACCTGGCCCTCAGGGACCGGCGCTGTGGCGCAACGGGTTAACACCCTGGACTGAAACACCGGCATCCCATATGGCCGCTGGTTCAAGACCCAGCTGCTCCACTTCCAATCCAGCTCTCTGTTATAGCCTGGGAAAGCCACAGAAGATGGCCCAAGTCCTTGGGCCCCTGCACCCACGTGGGAGACCTGGAAGAAGCTCCTGGCTCCTGGCTCCTGGCTTCAGATTGGCTCAGCTCTGACCGTTGCGGCCATCTGGGGAGTGAACCAACGGATGGAAGACCTCTCTCTCTCTCTCTCTGTGTCTCTCCTTCTCTCTGTGTAACTCTGACTTTCAAATAAATAAATAAATCTTTAAAAAAAAAAAAAACCCTGGGCTACAGACAGAGAAACATAGTATGGTTGAGGAAAGTACTTAAAATTAAAAAAAAAAAAAGTAGTTCTTTTTTTTTTTTTTTTTTTGAATTTGAGAGAGAAAGTTTTAGTTACCCCTTGCTTGTTCACTCTCCAATTGCCTGTAACAAGTAGGGCTGGGCCAGGCTGTGGCCACGAGCCCAGAACTCCATCCAGGTCTCCCTCATGGGTGGCAGGGACCCAAGGACTTGACCCATCATCTGCTGCCTCCCACTGTGCACATTAGTAGGGAGCAGAAATTTGGAGAGAAGCTGAGACTTGAACCCAGGCACTCTGACGTGAGAAATAGTTGTATGAGGCTCTAGTATGTAACCCTTATAAAAGCCATCACATATAAGGGCTGTGTATATGTGGGGGAGGGGAGATGGGCAGGAAGTGCTGCAGAGTACGTTGGGGACACCATTTCTTTTTTTTTTGGTATTTTATTTATTTATTTATTTTTTACACTTCTAAGAATATAATGATATTCCCTCCCTCTCTCCAGGTTTCTAGATGTTTATTCCAGGAGAATGTTCTTAAATTTTCTGAACTGCCAGTGCTGCCCTATCTACTCAAGGCAGGCAGACTCAGATGCAAAGGTCTGTCTCTCTGGACTGACTCAGATAACAATACAATAACCTTGCTACAAGGATGAGCTTAGTAGTCAGAGATTCAGAATTGCTGTCATGGCTACCCACCAGACAACGATCATTTTCTAGAATTTCTCAACAGACAGGTGGTTGAATGGGAAATACAAGTCCTCCATAAGTAGCCATCATTATGACCATTTGTATAATATCTTTATAGGGGATTAGCACCCAGATGTTCCTCAACTTACAATGGGCTTATAGCCTAGTAAACCCATCAGCAATAGAAAATACTTTAAGTCCAAAAATGTATTTAACACATTTTGGGGACACTGTGGCATGCAAAAAAAAAAAGGAAAACCTCTCAAAAATATGAACGACATAGTACAGGGTGGAGTATCAGTCATCCACTCTCACGATTGTGTGTCTGACGGTGAGTCATGACTTGCTGTCACTACCATCCACCACATTACACTATATATTGCTAGCCAAGGAAAAGATCAACACTGCAATTTTGAAGTATCATGTCTACTGAATGCATATCCATTTTGCATCATTAAGGAAGCAAAATGGAGTGAGTGGAGCCACCATAAGTTGGAGTCTATTTGTGCCTTTTAAATTAATATGCTGTTAAATGCAGAGCAGGGAGAAAAATATATTATACCTCAAGTTCTCAACGTGTTTTCAAGATGAGCTGTTTCATGAAATGGGGAGAGTCTTACCTTCTGTCAGCGAGATTGTGGTGGGTCTGGCCCTGTGACTCAGCAGAGCCTTCACCCCGCGGTGGCCCTTCTGGGGGTGCACAGCCTTTCTGGAGCTCAGCTGGGGTCACGTGCAGATTGCCAAGGTCACAGGTGTCTCTGATATCAACCTAGGCTTTCCAAAAGGAAGACAGGGAAAAAGACAAGTAAATAAAAAAAAACAAGTGTGAAGGAACTTCCCTAACGAGACTTGAGCAGACACTTCACTGGAAAACACGGGAACGAGCTGAAACCTTCATGGTGTAAATGCTGTGTCGGTTGCCATCGTCCCTAGACTATGAAATGCCCTCTGTGATAGATCATTTGGTTCATGTTGAAATCATCTCCCTCAGAAAACTATGAGGTGGAGGTGGAAGAGAAAGGAAATGACAATTGCCCTGTGTCTCCTATGGGACAGACTATGCAGCATCTTTTTTGTTTTCTGTTTGAATTCTCACATCAGTCCTTGGGTAGGGCTTTTTCTTCCAGACACACAGTTTTTTTTTTTTTCCAATGGAATTTCAATCACACTCTACGTGCTGTCTCAGTCTGCTAACACAAAAAATGCTTCATTGCTTTGTTTGCTCACTTCAGAAAAATAGTTGCCTGGAGAAAATTTAGGCTATCTGCTAAGCGCCACCTTGTGACTAGAACCGGAACTGTCACTACCAAGTCCTTTTGGGAGAAGGTGGGATAAAGGGTGGGAACTGCATCCTGCCAACCAGCAGCTTTCTCAGGCTTCTAGAATATACCATACTCAAATTTGGAGCTTTGTTATGCATTACACAAAAAATGGGATACAAATGTGTTCAACTTCCAATGGTCTGATTGTGAAAAAAAAGTATATGCTCGCTGAATTTTGAAAACAATAGAAAAAGAAAGTATAATTCTGAAAAGAACATTATTCCCTGTATATCTTCACAAGTTTTTCTTTGCAAACACTAGTAAATGCATATAATTTTATGCCATCTTTTTAAAGGCGAGTTTATGGTTTGTACATTTTTCCCATCAATAAGGATTTTCTATGTGATTCTTTAATGAATCATATCAAATGCAATTTTCCCCCAACTTTGTAACATTTCATCTTATTTTTTCTGATAGTTAAAAATGGCAAGCTATGTATTAATACTTATTTAAAAACAGATATCAAAGCCACTTCTGACTTTCCAACAACTCAAACAATTCAGTTAGTAAGTTGCCTATTTTGTATTGATGTTGTCGCTTATCTCTAAATAACATAATGTGGTGCCTGACATTCTGAAATTTGCTTATTTTCACCTTGTACTCCTTCTGAGACATCTTTTCAAACCACTGCAGGTTCATACTTCTATTTGTCAGCCCTATAACGTTCCATGGTATGGATGTGCCATGTCACTTCACACTTTGAAGACTGCTTATGGAAATAAACTCAATCTATCTCACTCTTAAGGTGATATAGAGAAATGGCTCTTGCTGACCACAGCTGTGCCTGTGGCCTGAAGGGAAGAGTTGCAGGGGGGGACACACACAAGATTGTAGACCACGCAGCAAGCAGGCTACCCGTTTGATCAGGTCCAGGAAAATTTCCACCCCGCAAAAGACAAGAGGGGTAACTATGGGAGCGTGTCTGTGTGTGAGTCTCTGAATGTTCATGTGTCTGAAACAAAATGTGTATGTCATTCAGCATCATCTTGCCCTTCCAATTATAAAAAAAAGATCCTGGAATAAAGTAATTCTAAAATACTGAAGCCAGTTAAAAATAGATTTGAAAAATCCCAGTAATGTGAACACTCAGAGAAGCTCACTGTTACATGAGTCTAGTTCACCTCTATAAGGTAAATGCATCTAGATTTTTCACAAGTGTTATCACTCAACAACATGTCTGAACCCCTGTCCACGTTCATGTACACTTACATTTGTGTGTGTGTGTGCCATACACTTTATATGTTTACATTTTTTTTTATCAATGATTTTTGGGCTGAATAGTAAATGTTTGAATCAAAATATAATCCAATCTGTAATGAAGCTAGAAATAGGGAAGGCCACGTGAAAAATGAACATGAACGGCATGCCTCACTGAAGTCTTAATTTAGAAGCTGTAATCTGATCGCCCATTCCCATACTGTGGACTTGAAAAATATCGGGAGAAGCAAAAATTCCAGAGGATTCATTCCAACCCAGTAAAAGCAATTCAACCAAAACGATATTCCATTCCCATCTCTCCAGGCAACAATCTACTCTTTTTTTTTTTCAATCTCAATACCAAGGCACGAAGAAATTCCCAAAAAATAACTAGCTTTAAGACAGCCATTACCTTGAAGCTTCTTGTCAGCTGCAGCCTTGTGAAATGCGGCCCCTCCCCCAAGACTGGCCAGACACAGTTCCCTTCCCAGCTGCTCAGAGCAGGCTCCGCCCCCTCCTAGGGATCTGGAAAGCAGGGGGGCCTTTCCCTCATTTAGAGGGAAGAGAATCACCAAGTTAAACTGCAACTCACTTAATGGGAAAGAATGTTCATTTTGAAAGCACTTGAAAGCAGAATGGCACCATGTGTCTCTTTAATTTACATTCAATCCTAAGGATGGGTGATTTCCTACCAAAAAAAAAGTACAAGTGCCTTTAGCATCAGTGAAGAACAGCTTTCACCTACTTTTCTTGCACCTACTTTTCAGGCACCTTCATTCTGGATTTTTAAGATCCAGCTGGGTGTATTCTATTAAAAAGATCCACTAGGTCCTTGTTTGTGATTGCAGTGAAGTTCTACATTACTTTGTGAAGAATTAATTCTTTACAGTTTTAATTCTTCTGGTCCTGGGACATGATCTCGCTCGCCCTCTCTCTATCTCCCCTTCTCTCTCCAGGTCTTCCCCTTTATTATTTCTAAAGATTAACAGTTTTTTCAACTAGAGTCATTGCAAAGTATAAAACACCAACTGAAATCCTTAAAGAGATATATACCTGAATATAGTGTAATCAAAAAAAAAACCCTATGATAAAACATGATAAATCAAAGTTGAAAATAGAACAAACTTGATAAAATTGGTTTCAATCCAAAAACACCTGTAATCTAGGGTGCCTGCGCTGTGGCCTAGTGGGTAAAGCCGCCACCTACAGCACTGGAATCCCATATTGGTGCCAGTTAAGTCCTAGTTGTTCCTCTTCTGAACCAGCTCTCTGCTAAGGCCTGGGAAAGCAGCAGAATATGGCCCAAGTGCTTGGGCTCCTGCAGCCTTGTGGGAGACCTGGAAGAAGCTCCTGACTCTTGGTTTCTGCCTGGCCCAGCTCCAGCCATTGCAGCCATTTGGGGAGTGGACCAGAGGATGGAAGATTCTCTCTCTCTCTCTTTCAAATAATCCTTTTTAAAAATCTGTAATCTAAAGTAGCTCTTATGTAGTCATAAGAAACAAACAGCAAAGTAAAAAATCTGGGCAAAGAATATAGACAGGGGCTGGCGCTGTGGTGCAGAGGGTTAACGCCCTGGCCTGAAGCACCAGCATCCCATATGGGCACTGGTTCTAGTCCTGGCTGCTCCACTTCCTATCCAGCTCTCTGCTATGGCCTGGGAAAGCAGTTGAAGATGGCTCAAGTCCTTGGGTGCCTGCACCCGCATGGGAGACCCAAAAGAAGCTCCTGGCTCCTGGCTTCAGATCAGCTCAGTTCTGGCCATTGCAGCCATCTGGGGGAGTGAACCAACGGAAGGAAGACCTCTCTCTCTCTCTGTCTCTCTCTCTCTCTCTACCTCACTCTGTAACTGTCTTTCAAATAAACAAAAGAAATCTTAAAAAAAAAGAATATAGACAATTCACAATATTCTGAAGGAGTTATTCTCCCTCACTCCTGATATTTACTTCCTGTGAGAAAATCCCTGCAATGTGACTACAGAGATCTCTGTCCTTCTAGGCACAGTTGCAAACCTCAAGGCTGTTTGGGTCGATGTGATTAAACTTGATGTTCTGTTATAAGGCTTATTTAATTATCACAACAGTCAGTGCCCTGCAAGTGCAAGTTACCTGCTTCTGTACTAGAGTGGACACCTTGGCTTCCATCTACAAATCCATTTGTTTTATTCATTTGTTCAGTGGAGAAAGGGAGGTGCTATTTATTTGGACTCCTCAAAACCCAAATATTCAAAGTAAAAATCCAAATTCATCAATGCAAAGAAAAAGGTAGCCACCTTCCCTAACGATCAAAGATGCAAGAAGAAACAGTAATTGAAATGTCATGTTTCTATCTAAGGTGACTGACAAAAATGCCAAGAAATGCTACTATGAACATTTAACAAGGGAACAAGGAAACAGGCACCCTTTTCTATGTCCGAAATCCCAAAGCAGGGAAGAGGGCAAGAGAAAAGCCGAGTCAAAGTTTATGTGACTCATGGGACTTGCGGGGTAAGCCGCTTCCTGTCACACTGGCATCCTATATCAGACCACCAGTTCAAGTCCCAGCTGTTCAGGTTCCAATCCAGCTCCCTGCTAATGCTCCTGGGACAGCAGTGGAAGATGGCCCAAGTCCTTGGGCCCCTGCACCCATGTGGGAGACCCAGATGTAGTTCCAGGATGCTGGCTCCAGCCTCAACCAGCCCTGGCCATTGCAGGCATTTGGGGAGTGAACCAGGGAAGAGACGATCTTACTCTCTGTCACTGTCTCCTTCAAATAAGTAAATCTTAAAAAAAATAATCTGACTTCAAAACAGGAGTGTGCTCTCTGTCCACCAGTACTTACCATCTTCTGGATTCAGAATCTAATCTCTTTGGTAGAACCAAGGATGATGGGGCTGACGCTGTGGTGCAGCGGGTCAACACCCTGGCCTAAAGCGCCGGCATCCCATATGGGCACCGGTTCAAGTCCTGGCTGCTCCACTTTCCATCCAGCTCTCTGCTATGGCCTGGGAAAGCCGTAGAAGATGACCCAAGTTCTTGGGCCCCTACACCGGTGTAGGAGACCTGGAAGAAGCTCCTGGCTCCTGGCTTCAGATCAGCACAGTTCTGGCTGTTGCAGCCAACTGGGGAGTGAACCATCGGATGGAAGACCTCTCTCTCTCTCTCTCTGTCTCTCTCTCTCTCTGCTCCTCTTCTCTCTCTGTGTAACTCTTTCAAGTAAAAAATAAATAAATCTTTTTTTAAAAAAGAACCAAGGATGATATCATTTACTTTCATATTAGGAAGAAAGTTATGAATATCACCGCACAGTGAGTGTTGCCTAATTTGCTATCTCTGCTGGTAAACACACTGGGAACTAAAACCATCTTCAAGAACCACCAGACTTATCCATGAACTCTCTCTTTCTCCTACATTGGCGAGTGCTGTACTTCTGCACTGTCGGTATCTGCATGATCACATTCACTTGGCCTCAGAGTAGTTATGACATCTCTTCCATGTTAGAGGGGCCCGACGGGAACTTATCCGTCAGATACAGCTCTTCCCATTCAGGGGCTGCAAATCAGTTGGGATGCTGTGCAGTGCCCCCACCTTTTAAATAACATTTATTTATTTGGAAGTCAAAGTTCTAGGGAGAGAGAGAGAGAGAGAGAGAGAGAGATCTTCCATCTCCTGGTTTACTACCCAAATGGCCTCAACAGCTGGGGCTGGGCTAGGTGGTAGCCAGGAGCCAAGAGCTTCTTCGGGGTCTCCCATTTGAGTGCAGGGGCCCGAGAACTTGGGCCATCTTCTGCTGCCTTCCCAGACACATTAACAGAGAGCTGTATTGGAAGTGGATCAGCTGGGACTTGAATCGGTGCTCATATGGGATGCTGGTGCCACAGGCAGTAGCTTAACCCGCTGAGTTGGCCTCCAGGTTTAGGTCTCTTAAGATAATGTTATTCTATGTTTAAATACAAAATTATTCTATGTAAGTAAAGTGGGTGAACTCTCACAGCCCCATGCATTATCACTGAGAAGAGATAAGCACACCTCTGGCTACATTGTAACTATTCACGTTGGAGAAACCAAGCTGCACTGGAACACAGCTCTTCTTGTAATGAGCAAATGGAGAGAAAGAATATTGTTTGCCTGGGGACTCTAAAGAAAGAAGCAATCACCCGATTTAAAAAAAAAAA